CAAAACAAAACAAAACAAAACAAAACAAAACAAAACAAAACAAAACACTCTCAACAACAAGGCTCAACCTCTCTGCAGTGTTCTATCAGGCAAGAAACCAAAAGGAGCAGTAAAAGACACCTAGGGTTACATCAAAAGGACTCAGAGACACCAAAGAGGTGACTCCTGGCTAATGAGAGATCAGTTTCAGCATCAAGACAATAAGAGTAATGGATTGAAACATATCAATATATATCCAAATTCCCTTGTTTGGGCTGTAGGTACCTCAGTGGCAGTTCTTGTCTGACATGCATGAGGCCTTAGGTTCAACCCCAGAACTGAAAAAAATTCACGTGTTTGTAATAATACTTAAAAAAATAAAGCAAGTAATCAGTGGTAAGGAAAGGAAATGAATCAAGCATTTAACCTGCCTTTCCTGAGGGGACTGAAGCACAGAGTTAGGGCAGAGGCAAAGGGAAACCTCTTCTGGGGTAAGTATTCAAGTCAATAAATAAATAAATAAATAAATAAATAAAACCAGGACAGTGCCATTTCACAATCCCCAATAAAATACAGAATCTGATTGCTTCTAGAACTAACGTATAGAAGATACAGGGGACAAACCAGGCACAGTGTTGCACACTGTGATTCCAGAACTGAGGAGGCTGAAGCAGGAGAACTGCTTCAAGTTTCAGGATAGCCTGGGCTATAGGCTGAGGGGAAGGCCAGATCAAGTCTCAAAATCCAAAACGAGATGTAAAAACAAAACAAAATGAAACAAACAAACAACAAATAAAACACACCAGATGGGGGTTCAGGACACCTTTAATCCCAGAACTTGAGGGAGAGGGGGGCTTGGTCTACGTAGTCATCTTGTGATGCATGTCTCACAAGAAGCATTTGTCATGCAAATCAGTTGACTGGTTCTAGGATCCCACAGTGGAAGGAGAAAACCAATTTCTAAAAATTGTTCTCTGACCTCTATACCTAAATCTTTGTAGGTACACAGACACACACACAAACATACATACAGACACACATATACAGACATAGACACACAGACACACACAGACACACAGACACACACACAGACACACAGACACACACACACACACACACACACACACACACGCATAGGGGAAGATACAAAGAAAAAGAAAAACACAAAACTCCACCCCAAATCAAAACCAAAAATGTCAAGGAGACTTGATATTACTTTAACATGTTTAAAGGAGACTTCAGAAATACAACAGACACATTCATGTTGTTCATTCGTGTTGAGACAGTAGTCTGTGTAGACAATAAATACAGTTCCTTCAATATGAAATGGCCAGGACAAAGGTGGAAGGGAAGTGTGTAAAACCACAGCACAGTGTCCCTGAGGCCACCATCCTTAGAAAGGCCCACTTGAGAGGCTGGCTTCTGGGAACTGGGTTCTCAGAGCACTCCTGGTCAGCACTTAACTGAGACAGGGTGGCTCACTCCACCAGGTGGTTCAAGTCTTTTGACACTGTGACAACACTGTCACCTATGACATTCACACTCAAAAAAGCATGCATTGGAGTTACAACAACAAACCCATATACACAATCCCCACAAGAATCTCACGGTATTTAGAATACATTTTACAATTTTGTGTCGGGCCTAACTCATAACTATCTTTGGCTGTGTGCAGCCCACAGACTGAAGCTTCGACACACTTGGTAGCCTATGCTGAAATAGTCTGGCTTCTACTTCCCTTTTGGGAGTCTGGAATTCTGGTATGTGATAGAAAGCTCCCAAAAGGCCAGTGTTGATAACAGCTTTGTGAGCTGAGTGTGACCGGATTCCCTGTTAGAAGCACTGTACACACTGCTGACCTGTTGCAAATATGGAAGAACGGACTCCCCCTGTGGCAGGGAGAGCACAAGGAGGCTGGACATTGACTCCTCTGAAATTCTGCCTGTGTCTTTTTCTCTTGTGATCTAACTGTCTCCTCAGCACAGTCTGTAACAAACACCAGTTGTGTGTACACAGTGCTTAGACCAGGCTCCACTGAGTCCTTCTAGTAAATCTGTGAATACGAGGACAGTCTTTGGGACATAGGCTGATATACAAATCAGTGCTTTCTTAAACATTTGGGCACATTAGGACCCTCAACTCCAGGTCTTCTGGTCCAGGAGCCTCGGGTGGTGCCTGAACGTCTGCATTTCCTTTGGCAGTTGGGATTCATTTTTTTAAAAATTCATTTTATGTGTATGGTGTTTTGCCTGCATAGATGTATACACACCCTATGTGTGCATGGCTCCTGCCGGAAAAGGGAGTCAGGTCGCCAGGAGTGGAGTTATGGATGCTTGTGAGTTGCTTTGTGGGTGCTGGGAACTGAGCCTTCACCCTCTGCTCTTTGACTCTGACCTGTCCCTCCAGGCTCACACAGGACATACTTTAAGAGACACTGCTGTAGAGTCAGACTCCAGAGATGCCTCAGACATCCAAAAGGTGTGGATTCTATTTGGATTCTGACCTCAAACTCAAAGATCTGCTTGCCTCTGCCTCCCGAGAAAAAGAGAGAGAGAGAGAGAGAGAGAGAGAGAGAGAGATGGAATTAAAGGTGTGCACCACCGTGGACTGGTTGGAATTGTCAGATTTTTAAATGAGAAATTCTGTAATAATTTACACACATCTATTGGTATATTATTTAGAGAAATATTCAAAAATATTATGAATACAAATGACAAAATGACTTAGAATAACTACAAAGTAATTCGGTTGGACAGAGGGGGCTGGTGGGGGTACTTACTGAGTATAGAGAGATCCATTATGATTCTAACTTCTTAGGCATATTTTTAAAGTTTCTTAGAATTAAAACTGGTTTTGTTTGTTTGATTTTAGAATTAAAACTTCATTTTTGTTTGTCTTGTTTTAGAGTTCCCTAGGAGCTGGAGAAATGGCTGGATGGTTTAGAACACATGCTTCCCTTCTAGAAAATCAGAATCTGATACCCAGCTTCCATGTCGTAGCTCACCGCTGTGTCTGGCCTTCATGGGTGTCAGCATACTTGTGTATATAGTCATAAACAGATGCACATATATACATGTATTACAAAAACACATTATAACTGACCCCCCCCCTTTAAAAAAAAAGAGCTTGACAAAGGTAGGTTATTTTCTTTCTTTTTTTGAGATAGAGCCTTACTATGTGTGGAGCAGGCTGGCCTTCAACCTGAGATCCTCCTGCCTCAACCTCCCAAATGTTGGGTTTACAGGTGTGTACCTCCAAACCTGGCTCTCCTCTCTCCCTCTCCCCCTCCCTCTTTCTCTCACACACACCCCTTCCTAAATTCCTTTCCTCTGCTTAGATCCCCACAGCAGATACGGATGCGAGATTGGGAGAACGTGCTTTGTACTCTGGAGCTCCAGAATCCACTGCTGTGCTCGCAACAACCATCAAACCTCCACCAACACCAACAAAAACCTTAAACCAAGCCAAACCAAGCCCCCAAACACTTCTAGTGCCCACGCTACCTTACTGAAGAAGCAAGATGAGTCTTTGGAATATTTGACTTTTAAGGGAACTTGCCAAAAGATTCAGATACTCGTGACCTCCCATTCGAAGAGCACAACACTGACCATATTCTCTGTGGAAGCTGACTTTTCTGCCATTCACCCAGGCAAGCAGCATCACCACAGTGCTCTTGTTTTTCCAGGTAAGCCACTCTGTGGTTCCCAACCACCATCTGGTTTGCATACACACTACTGGCCAGGTCAGTAGGAGATGGAGGTGGGTGGGAGGAGCACAGGCAGTATTTGAAGGCATAGAAAGCAGATGCTTGGCTCCTGTGGAGAAGGCGACTCAAGGGGAGCTTACCATAGCAAAACCGACATCTGCTTTCTTTAGAGCGGGTCCGTCATTTGTTCCATCACCGGTGACAGCAACCACCTGCCGCTGTTCCCCAATAGTGCTGTCAATGATACCTGGGAAAAACAGACACACAGGACAGTGAACACACATGTGCCACCTGAGGTCATGTGGTAAGTTTTCCACAAAAGGGACACTTTTGGACTTCTCCCCTGTCTCTACCATTCTGCCTCTACTCTCTCGCCTTCTTTTATCTCTTTGCTGCTGAGTCTACAGTAACCACCCCACAGGCAATAGATTCACCAAGGTCACTCTGAGCTGAGAAAGGTAGCCTTCATCCAGTGCCTTACACAGCTGCTAGGTAGCTGGGCAAGCATGAGACAGCACTGACATCTGGGTTCAAGGGTACCACTTCAGCCTTACCAACTAGGGACTAACACTCCTACCCTCAGCTCTAGATAGCTGTGATGGCCTACCCCTTAATCCCAGTACTTGGGAAGTAAAGGCAGGAGGATCAGGAGTTCAAGGTCATCTTTAGCTATATAGGGAATTTGAGGTCAATATGGGCTACATGAGAACTATACCACCTTTTCTCCCCAGCAAACAACAATTAAAGAACTTCTAAACTCTACTAGAACCGCAAACCAAAACATTCAACTCTATTTTATCACAAACTTGCCAGGGGCTCAGATGTTTGTCAAACTCAATGTTCTCCCCATTAGCCTGAGACTACTCCTAGGATTCCTTACAGAAAAGTAGTTTGGCTGATGGCTCATTTTGAGACAAGGTCTCACATAGCTCAGGCTGGCCTCAAACTCACTATGTTTCTGAAGACGATCTTGAACTTTGGGTCCTTCTGCCTCCACCTCTTAAGTTCTAGGATCACAGAGAGTGTATGTCACTATGCCTAACTCTTCAATGGGTGTGCCTTTTCTGTTCTTTTCTTTTTAGAGGGCAGTGCTGGGAATTGAACTCAGGGCATTGTGCATACTAAGCAAGCACTCTGCCTCTGGCTACATCTCCAGCTTGGCCAAGGGTGGCTCTTTATCTGGCTTTACCCTGGCCTGCCCTCATCTATGGCAGACCATATACAGACCAACCTCACCTTTCACCAATGTGTGCTTGTCAGTGGGAGAAGACCGTGCCAGTACCCGAAGCCTGGGCCAGATCTTGTCCAGCTTTTCTTGTTCAACCTGCCAACACCAGAGGCACCTCAATCAGTCAAACCCAGAGCAGCTTATTCAGTGAAATCTTACCCCTTCACACGACCCCAGCTTCCAAGAGTACTGGAACTTTATAGCCCTGGAGGGACCCTTATTCCCTGGCCTCCCGGGAAATGAAACAGCCAATATGGCTTCACTGATGGTGACCATTCAGGGCTTTATCTTCTTTTCCCTCCCAATTTTCTATATGGAAACCAATCCTTATTTCTTAGCCTCATTCCAGGAGGGTCAGGGTTAACGCCTGGCTCAGGAGGCTACCACGAAGTTGCTGGAGGCTTAGGTCTGAGTCTTTGTAGAGCTGTACTCATACTGCATTCAAGCACAAGTCTGTGCCACCCACAGCCACAGGATGGTGACATTGGAGGGGTGAGGTAGGGGGAAAGCGGCATAAAAAAAATATTCTTTGAGTTTTAAAGAAACAGAAAGATAATGAAGTTAGTGATTCTGTCCCCCACAGGTAACTGAACAAAGACAAGCCGACTCCCCATTCACCATACAAGGAGATGTGGTGGGAAGGGATGGATGTCTCACGATGGATTGATTTCAGTTTGGAAGTCACCTACTTGCTCCCACAAGGCCCTGATGCTGCACACTAGAACCAGCCATTCCCTTGAAAGTACTGCCCTTGCTGCTCTCTCCTCCGACTCACCATGCCCTTCTCATTGCGGATAAGTCTGTTGAATTCTTTGCCTTCCAGGCACAAGAAGTCATCTCCAGGAGTCAGAATGCCACATTTGGTGGCGATGGCCCGGGCTGTGTTGACATTATCACCTGTCACCATTCTGACAGTAATGCCAGCCCGTTTGCATTTGGCAATTGCCTCTGGTACCTAAGGGGGGGGGGCAAAGTAAAAAAAAAGAAAAATGGTCATGAGCTTGGTGATACGTGGCCCTGGCTCAGCTCTCACTTCAGTGAGGACAGGACAGGGGCTCTGTCTGATTGTTTTTTCTAGTGCTCCGTGTCCCCTTGCTAATATGTCCATCTCACAATGGACATTGACATTTTACTCATGATCTCCTAGGATGGAGGGGAATTTGCTTTGGGAGGCAGATGTGCCTCCTTTGTCTTCAGGGTCCCTGGGAGGCGTGGGCAGCGTTTGGTGATTCGGCCACTGATCTCCTTCTCAGAAGCAGCTCTAACCATTCTCTGCCCATGTGGTCCAGGCTCCAACCCACAAGCTCATTGAAGTGACAGGACACCCTCACCATTCTAGCCTTTGAAATTTCCCTGGCACCTAGAATAGTGTTCTGCACACAGGGACTGCTCAAAAACGAATATGCCAGTTGAAAGAAGGTAGCTGAAGAGTAAGTTGTCTTCTGGTTAATTCTGCCCCTGACTATTCCTAATTACCAAGTAATAAGCCCAACAAAACTGTCACTGCCTGCCCTTTACATAACATAAACCCTAGGGATACTGGCATCTACTGACCCGGCACCACATGGCTGATGTGGAAAGGAGGTGTCGGAGAGTCACCTGTCTCTGTAAGTGACAAGTAGTTAGGCAATGTGTCTGGGGTCAAGGCCAGGCCAGAGATTCACACCTGCTTCCTGTGACTCCCAGGTAGCTCGTGTGGTTACACTGGACCCTGTACCCTAACAGCAGAGAGACAAGCACTTCTACTTTCTTGTCCTTTTTCTTCAATTCAGAAAGAGGCAAGCCTTACCTCTGGCCGCACAGGATCCTCAATGCCCACCACCGCAATGCAGATCAGCCCAGTGAGGATTTCACTCTCATTGTCCCATGAGGGTTCTTCGTTATCAAAATCTCGGTAAGCTATGCAGATAGTCCGGAGTCCTTCACTGGCCATGGGCTCAATGACATTGCGTATCATATTATCTCGGTTCTTACTCCTGAACGGTATGGTTTCTCCTTCCTTGTTCAGGATTCGATCACACCTGGGGAGATGCACCGGCAGACATCAGTGTCTACCTTCCCACCGAACACAATCTAACAACCACACGATCACAGGCATTATGGCAATTCTGTGTTATTCCTACAGATATTATTCCTTGGTCACACACATCATTTATCTATCACTTAGCTTTCTCTCTCTCCCTCCCTCCCTTCCTCCCTCCCTCCCTCCTTCCCCCACCTCTCTCTCTATTTTACAGAGTATCCCAGAAGGACCCTGAACTTGTAACCCTCCTACCTTAGCCTCCCTAGTGATTGGATCATAGGTGGCGACATACTTAGGTTGGCTCAACTGTAACAGCCTACAGGCAGCTTAGCTACTTTTAAAGGTATATAAAATGACTCCAGAAGGAGGAAGAGAGGGAGCAGAGAAGCAGCACTGTTAACTCTTGGTATGTGTGAGGAGGCATCTCATGCTCACCAACTCCTTCGAGCACGGTGGCACAGGGCATATTCTGACTATCTCCATGAGCTCACTAGGAAATGGAGAGTCAGGCTAGTCCAGGCTGAATCCTGGCCATGGTATTGTTAGCTGTTCTTTCTGTGAGAAAGTTACACAACATCACTACGTTCCTCTCCTGATCTGTAAAATGGGTCAAAATAGTACCCACCTTGCCGAGGTGTGAGGGTTTATTAAAGGAGTCAGCAAAGTGCTTAAAAGCAATCACTGTCCTGAGTAAAAGCTCAGATGTCACTACCTGGTTGCAGGGTCACTCATCCTTCAGCCTGCTTTGGCATGGTCCCTCAGACGTTCCTGGGAGGGGGTGGGGCTCTCAAAGGGGAAAATGGGAGGAAGGGGGCTCACTTTCGCAGCATTATCTCAGAGGCACCCTTGCTGAACATGCGGAAGCCCCCTTCCGGCTTCCTGATGACCGTGCTCATGGACTTGCGCACTGAGTTGAAGGTGTACACCTTGAAGATCTTCTCCTCAGGCATCTCATTGCGAACTTCTTGGTAGTCCTGCTTCAGGTCTGTGACAAAGCCCAGCAGCCCACACTCTGTCTTGTTGCCTACTTGCCGGGGTAGGCCTCCCTCCTTTTCTGGAGGCTGAGAGAGAAAAGAAAAAACAGAAACAAAAGCAGACATAGAGTTAATAAGTGAGATCTCTGGATCGGAGGAAGGACTTGTGCAGGTCAACTTGGTAGGCACACCCGCGCCCAGAGCGGAGGCACCATTTGCTCTTCTTTCAAAGGTGACATTGACTCACAGCCATACAGGTCTTGGGACCTTACAGCTACTCCATGGCAATGAGGTGTCTCATGTCCTGGAAGTCATATTCTAAAGCTCTTCCTGTTTCTGGAAAATGAGTAATTAAATATGAGTAAGTGCAAGTCTGCTGGTGACATGGCCACGTTTACTCTGAGCATGCTCAGTCAGGAGTAGGAAACAGAATGTCGGACAACAATTCAGATGGGATGGATGATAGACGATATGGTGGGTTGAGTAAGCACGGCCCCCATAGGCTCATATGTTTGAATACTTGGTCCCCAGTTCGCAGAACTGTTTGGGAAGGATTAGGAGGTGAGGCCTTGTTGGAGGAGGTGTGTCAGTGGGGGTTGGGGGGTCTTTGAGGTTTCGAATACACTCATGTCCTCTCCAGTGTGCTCTCTGCCTCCTGCTTGTGGATGGAGATGTGAGCCCTCAGCAACTGCTCCAGTGCTATGCTTGCCTGCCTGCTGCCGTGTTCCCTGCCATGATAGTCAGAAGGTCTAACCCTTGGAAACTGTAAGCCCTCAATAGATGCTTTCTTCTGTAAGTTGCTTTGGTCATGGTGTTTTAGCACAGCCATGGAAAAGTAACTAGGACAGAAGATTTATCTCTGGAATGAATATTGCTTCCCCATCACCCACCCCGGGTGACTAGGCAATGCAAAGCTTACCAGGATCTTAGAAGTATAAGCACAGTTGATAGAAATGCCATTGACTATGAGCTCCAGAATCTTGGGTGGGATGTCATCAGGTTTTGGGATCTGGCGGTAGTGAGTGTCCCCAATGTAAGCTTGTACCACTGTCATGCGGTTCATGGTCAGCGTGCCTGTCTTATCGGAGCAAATGGCTGTGGCATTGCCCATTGTCTCACAAGCATCCAAGTGCCGTACCAAGTTGTTGTCCTTCATCATTTTCTACAAAAGACAAGAGAAAGGAGTTGAAAGAGGACCAACAGAGTTCCCCCGGACACAGGCCGAAGGCTAAGTCCACATTTTTCACTTGAGTTCTAGTCCTGCACAACAATGCTCGGTGCTATTTTTGTGATACTTTAAGACTCGACTCATCTATTTAAAAAAACCAACTGAAACGGCTGTTTCCTAGAGCTAAGGGTTTCTGCTCGTGGGCGACTCCCTAAAGTGTCTGAAGGGCAGAGGAGCTTATCTTTTAACTGAAGGGCATATGGTACCCTCCTTTTCCATCTCTGTCCTTAAGGAATAGTATTTTTCCAGGCTTACCTTTACAGAGTAGGCCAATGAGATAGTGACAGCCAATGGCAGCCCCTCTGGTACAGCCACTACCAATACAGTGACTCCGATGATGAAGAACTTGACAAAATACTGGATGTAGACAGGAGTGCACTCAGGAAGCCACGCTCGGCGCTGTATCACGAAATTGTCAACCACAAAGTACAGAATCAAGATGACAACCGTGAGGACAGACATGATCAGACCTGTCCAGGGCAACAAAGTACATGCACGGTGGTTAGTTTGTTATGCTCTTTCTAGAATTTTTAAAGATATAAGCTTTAGAAAGTTATATTAAAATCTTCTCCCCATCCTGTTGCTTGCATACAATGACATTAGAGGTTTGTTTTGTTTTGCCTTCTTTTCCATTTTTTTTTAAACAAAACAAAGTCTCTAAACACAGTAGTTCCAAAGATACAGATTTTGTTCTTAGCATGTCACCAGCCTGACTCATACCCTTGTGTTAGTTGTTAAACCTCTATGGGCTTAGTTGGTAATTTAACTTCTTAATTCATAAATAAGAGGGTTTGCCGGGTTATGGTGGCATATATCTGTAATTTCAGCACTTAAGAGACAAGGCAGGAAGATCATAAGTTCTGGCCATCTTGATCTAAGAAGGGAGCCCTTATTTCAAAAACATACAAATTACTCCACCCCCAACCCAAAACTCCTAAAACCTGACCAAACCAAAAAAAGGGGGGTAGCAGAGTGTGCTAGGAAAGGGGCTTCCTCCTAAAAGAGGATCCTTACTCATAAATGGCTGGATCCCACAGTCTGAAGAGATCAGGTTGCACCTGCATTCAGAGAACTAGGCCCACCCCACCGCCCTCAGAGAACTAAGCAGCAGGCTAGACTTGAGTATTCTTTATTGTGCATGTGACATTGGATGTTAAATCACTCTATATAAGCTTCCTGCCATAACCCCCCAATTAAAAAAATTTTTTCCTTTGTTCTTGAGATTTGTTCAGAGATTGGTCCTGATGCTCCTTCTCCTCCTGGGTCATGGTCTTGAGGCCCTTTCGTCTAAAGGGGGAATTGTGTGTTGGCTACATGTGGACTGGCTGCTGCTGCTTTATTAGTAATTCTGTTCTGTAAACAAGGTGGCCTGCATTTTATGGTTGCATTCCATAGTTTACCAAGCAGCAACTGTGTCTGCCCACTTAGTAGTTTACAACTTTGACTTTCCCTCCTCCGGTGGTCTGTGAAAGTTCCACACCCTGGTTACTCACGATGCAACCACCTACGCGTTTTCTCCTATCACCACATGGCATGAAGAGGACAATGAGCCAAGTGCTTACACAGCGCTTGCCACAGGCCAGCCAGGCCTTCAAGGCCGAGTCTCTACAGCCCTAGGAGATAGCTACTACTGTCACTCCTGTTTCAAAAAGAGAGAGCTAGAGGTCAGTGAAACTTCTGATATAAGACTCCGGCAGGGCGGCCATCTTGGTTTGTTCGAGACACAACAATTTCTGGGAGTTTCAGTGAGAAAACAGGGAAAGTTTCAACCACGTGGGACAGCTTGTTACCTTACATGTTTGGGGGGAAATCAATGGCTATCCTGAGAGTTAAGGATTAATATGTACCCATCAGCAGTACAGTATTTGGGGAACACACACACACACACACACACACACACACACACACATATTGAAGCCCTGATGATTCCGGGCTTCACAGCAAGGCCATGGGGATAATGTCAATGAAAGCGGATTGGTTTGGGTTTGAATTGATTAAGGCTAGAACTTTCATAAGGAAGCAAGTTAGCTAGGGTATAAATTTATGGAATCTCTCTCTCTCTCTCTCTCTCTCTCTCTCTCTCTCTCTCTCTCTCCCTCCCTCCTTCCCTCCCTCCCTTCTCCCTCCTTCTCTTTCTCTCTCTCTGTCTAGGTTGGAAGGCACCTTGTTTATGCCACCCTAGCCTAGCTTGATATTCTTATCCCCAAGGAAGAATGAGGCAGGGACAAGGAGAAGACTTGGGCTTGGGGGATCTATTTGTTTTTGATCTGGGTACCTGGCTCAGTAACTGGCTTTTGTGCCTACGGCTCATCCAGAGAGAGACAATACATAGGATTTCAAGGTAGTCAGAACAAGCTAAGTACTGGACCGAAATGAGTTGGCTAGGTCGACACACTCCTTCCAGAACTTTCTGTGATACTCAGAATCCTCTGACTTGGTACTGTCTGGTAAGACAGCTACTGGACACGTGGCTACTCAGAAGAGTGCTATCGACAGTGGCTGCTGTTGTGTCTGTCACAGATCCTTGGAGACTCTCAGGCCCCACCATAGACTTTCTGAAGGTAGTCTGCACTTTAGCAACGACATCTGGAGAATTGTTCCCAGAGAAGCACGCTAGATATGGTGGTAGTAAGCCAAAGTCTGAGGTCACAGAGTACTCATTGACAGACCACACCTCAAGGGACACTGCACAAGGGAACCGTCCTCTGCTTCCTCTTCCTGCTGCTCCCTTTGGCCACAGGATGGGAGTGAAGTGTAGGGGTGGGTGATGGAGAAGCCACTCGTCACTCTAACTAGAAGATCTTTCTGTTAATGGAACTGAATAGACTAAGTGTTCTTCGGTCTCCAATCTTTACTGAGTATTTATTCCGCCATGCTGGGCCACAGGATTCTACAACCAAGGAGGGAACTGCCTAAAGCAAACTCTGTCCTTGGGGGGATTCCAGGACAGGTGGAAAGTTCTTAAGGCTGCCTTCCTGTTAGCATGACCCCCTCCACCCCATATTTGGATGAAGGAGATCTCAGGCTATCAACCTTTCTACACAGGAGGATATCTCTTTCCTTCAAAGCCCAACAAGTGTTCAAAGACACAGCTCTCTAGACCTCAGGAGCCACCCGAGTGCCAGTCCTGCTTGATGTGGTGAGATGGAGGCTGTAGCAGCCAGCACGTGGGACAGAACTTCAAATCTGCAATGGGTTGCAGGCTTAGCTACTCACCTGCCTTCCCAATCTGCACAGCCAGGCGTGTGAGCTTGCCCTGCAGCACTGACTTCTCCTTCTTGGGTCCCTTGATTATTTTCTTCTCCTTCTCCTCACTGTCGAGCCCCTCCTGGCTGTTGAGTGGCTGGATTTCCAAGGCCACTCCATCCTGGGTCTTTGCTAGGGTAGACACACGGACAGAGCAAGTGAGCAGGCAAGGATAAAGCAGTGAACGGCAGGCAGATGGAAGGCAAGATGCCCTTCTGTCTTCTTCCTGGAATGTTCCTTAGGCCCCTGACTGCTCCTTACCCATGCCAGACACAGGACTCCACTAGGGACTTTGGGACATGTCTAATAACTGGAGATGAGGTGGAAGATGCTTCTCAGGTCTGGATTTCATCTTTACAACAACTTCCTGGCACCCCTCAGAGCCACACGGCAGGTTTATAGCAATAAGGGGATTAATCACACCACTGAGGCCGTCCACCCCTTAATAAGCATCCTCTCTGGAATCCAGAGCTTAAAACAAAGAATGTTTACTGTAGAAAGGGACCAAAGGGAAACTCTAGCCGATGTTTCTAGAATGTAAGAGTCCTAGCCCTTTTTGTTAAAAGTCCTCTTCCCCCAATGAAGGAAGAAAGACAGACACCAACCACACCCTTCCCAAGTCCAAAGTTATTTTTCAGCTTCTTCTTATATATGTTGAAGGACAAGGGAATGAAAGAGGTACAGAGTAGGACCTGTACTGAGTAGTCTATGGGGGTGGGGGAGAGGGAAAAGAAGGTCCTCTAAAGACACAGAGTAGGGCAAAGCAGAGGTGCATGGGCACATCAAACCCAGGCTTTCCTCTTTAGAAGAAGAATAAAGAGACCTGAAATTCAAGTTCTTTCTCCTTAAGCACTGGTGCTCTGATATGGTGATTTTATTTCTGAAGAGTACTATGATGTGTGTAATGGGGGTGGGGGAGGGGAGAACAACTTTAGGAGGTGTCTCAAGACTACTTCCTGCTGGTCCCCCCTCCAATGTCACTGTTGGCTTAGCAACCTCCTTCTGAATTACAGTCTCTTCTGTCTGATGCACAAACAAGACGGAGATGGGATGCAGACACAGCCACCAAGAGAAACACAAACCATATCAGGAGGAACAAAACAGACCGTGGCGAGAACAAAGAAAGAAGTGGGCAGAGAGGCAGAGGGAGACAAACGTCTCCTTCCAAAGCCTCTGAGCAGACGAACAGGGAAGAAATACAGACCAGAAGACACCCATGAGGCGGCTAGCAGAGGAGGGTGCAGGGACTGCCTGGCCAACACCCTTCACCGTGACTTCAAACCCAGAAACTGCCGCTGCTGTGGACAGTGAAGCAGAGCTCAGCACTCTGAGAAGAGCCGATCTGTGTCCCTCGGCCGAAGAATTCTGGACATTGCTTCCTTAAGCCAACAGCAGAGGGTGCTGCTGTTCCGCCTTGAGCCCTCCCCTAGATCTCTGCACCGTCCTCAGGATGAGGCGCTGGGCCACAGCAGCAGATAACAGATTATGGAGAGGGCAGGGAGACAGATGGCCTGGAGAGGTCTGGTTTGAGCGTGGGCAGGTAGAGATGGAAGATGAGTGGGTGGAGAGGTTACCTTTGTTGCGATTTTCAGGGACTCCTTGTTTTTTACCTGTTTGAACAACAAAGAAAAAAGCGGGGTGGAGACCCAAGTGACTAACTAGTAAAGAGATGATCTGATACCCAGTTCTGTCCTTTCCCGGCACAGAACGGTTACAACGAAGGAGGAGCTCTGCAGGTCTGTGGGGCAGGGAGAGTCTTGGGAAGGAAGCTCAAATCTCTGCTCATTCATTCTTCCTAGTGATTCACATGAATCCTGGGGATCCAAGCATTGGACAGCTGCACACACGGTCATGCCTGAGCTTCTCCTGCATCCAGGAGGGAGGATGGTCCTGTCTTGAGTCATAACTCTTGAGAAAATGGGGGTGGGAGTTAGGGAGAGAAAGGTTGGAAATATCTGCCCATGGCAAGGCCCTAAAATGCATCTTCAGGTCAATTCAACAAGCCCCAGGCAAGCTTCGTAGGTGTTCAGCTAACGGCAGCTGTAAAAAAATGAATTGAGTTCTGAGAGGTTGTTTGTCTTTCATAAGTTTCTCTCCACTAAGTACCTAAGATGATCCTTAGCCAAATGCTAGAAACCCTTTTCTCTCCACAGGAAGAAGGAATGCTCAGAAAAAGGCCAGAGTCTAGCTTTCACCCTTGGGTCTCATTCTCTGGTACTCCTGCCTCAGGAAGAAGTGAGTGACGAAGATTAGTGTAACTGTGGGGTGGACATGCTCTCTCTGTTCCCGCTCTTCTAGCTGTGCCTCTCTTCAACGGAGAGCCCACATTTTCAGTGGGATCCATGTTTTGCTTTAAGTCACTTCCCTCTTAGCTGTGATGGTTTGTTTTACCCCTCAGTCCTTGAGGACAAGGGGAAGGGAAGAGGAGGACGACATGGGAAAGTTTGGCTGGAGCACTTGCCTGCTTGTTCAGTCTACAGCTAACTCAATCCCTTACAACATACCAAAGACACAGGGATTAAGGAGATGCAATCTGACTTGAGGAATTTGAGCCAGGGTTCCGTGGTTTTCACTGGCGCTCCTCAGAGACACAATAAGGTCGACGAGTGTGTGTGTGTGTGTGTGTGTGTATCTTCACATATGTCTATGTACCATGAGTGTGCCTGGTGTCCACACAGGCCAGAAGAGAGCAAGGATCCCCTGGAACTAGAGAGTCGTAGATGGTTATTAGCAAGCATAAGGGCCCTGAAAACTGAACCCAGGTCCTTTGCAAGAACAAGTGCTCTTAACTACTGAGCCATCTCTCCAGCCCCAAACTGACATCTGCATCTTGGCAAGGAGTCTGCAACTCTGTTGCTTCGTCTCAGCAGACTTTCCTAGCAGCTTTTCCATCTGGATCTGCTCTCCAACCTTTAGTTCAAACACAGAGATGAGAGAGAATGTCATTCAGCACACCCCTTACCTTTCTTCTTGTCTTCATCTTCTTCCTCACTAGCCCCTAAGAGGGTGAAGATGATTCCAGTCTGGGAGTTGACCCCGACAGCCGTCACTACCATCCGTCCAGAACCTTCCATCACATGAGTCCCTACAAAAGGGAAGAGAGAAGGCAGGGAGGGATGAGTGCTGTTTGATGTTCTTAGCTGTGATCTGCTATGAAATACAAACTTGAGATCATGGTGCTTCCTTTCCTCTGTGGATTATAATTTATTTAGTAGGCAGTGAGAAAAAACTAGGAGATGAGCCCGTTTAAAACAGACCAAGGAGACAGCGTTAAGGTTAATGTATTAACTTTATACAATCTTTCCAAACAACAGAGCTCCTGCAACACTTGATGGACCATGTCTTTCAGGTTACTGACATTCCTGCATCAGGACTACCCACATGTCTCTACTCCATCTTAACCCAAGAGAAGAAGAAAGGATGGAGCCAATAGAGGGAAGAGGACCCAGAACTCACGGCCCTACTATCTGGGGGCTGTGATGATAACCTGAGTAGCCAGATACTATACCTGAGAGCAACATGGGGTCTTTGTCCGGAGTCTTCCTGACATGATCAGACTCTCCTGTCAGAGAGCTCTCATCAATCTTCAGATCATTTCCCTGGATTAGGATTCCATCCGCAGGCAGCAGGTCACCTAGTGCATAAGGGGAAGTGTGACAATAAGGGAGAGCGGGTAAGATTTGGTAGGGGATAGCCGTGCAGACCTCCATCCAACTCCTCCACTGCACCTTAGGGATGCCCTCCTTATGGTCTCATGAGGATGTAAAGAGCCTCCACATAAAGGGGTAAAGAGAATGTAACTCTAGAGCTGGGTTGGGACTCAGTGGCAGAGGGCTTACCTATACTGTAAATGGCCCTGAGTTTTATCCTTAGTGCCACACATATCTCGAACCAACACCTTCCTGTGGTCTAAGTATTCTATAGTTTTACTCTTAAGCCATACAAGGCAAAAGTCTGGCAATCCCTCGGAAGAGTTTTGGCTGTGGCTTTCTTAGAATTCCTCCCACAACCCTCTTAGATTGTACCTGATGGGTAAGCAGAGGCTTTCAGAGGCTCCTAGCTCCCCACGTCAATAGACCTACTCTTCAGATGTGTCTGGGGAGGGGTGTTGTAGGTCAGAGAAACATGGTGCTCTCACCGTATTTGACCTGGGCAATATCTCCCACCACAATCTCGGCCACGGGGAGCTGGATGAGCTGGCCATTCCGGATAATGGAGAACTTTTGCTCAAGTTCGATGCGACTCTGCAGTCCCCGGAACTGCTTCTCTTTGCTCCAGTCATTGAAGGCTGTCACGAACACCACAATGATCACCGAGGCGAGGATGGCTGCCCCCTCGATCCAGCCAGTTTCTCCTTCATCTTCTTCTTCTGGGCTACTTATAATGTGACCACAGACTATCCAGAGAGGGAAGAAAGAGTCATTGAAATGAGGGCGGTGCTTACACAGCCTCCACAAGTTGGACAGTCTTGAAGAGAAAACAATAGAAAATTAAACTCTGAGGTGGAAGATTTCCAAGGGAATCGGAAGCTAGCCGGATGGAGCCATCTCTCATCATCACTAGGTCTAATTTGTGTTAGCTACTAAACGGCACAACGCATGCTGATGAAAGTCACAGGTCATGCAGCCGGGCTCACTGCTATTTCCCATAATGCCAAGCACTATGGTTGGGGCACACTAAGAAGCAAAGGTAAGGACACAAGGTGGTGTTCTGAGTGAGGATGAGGTAGGCGAAGGGAAATGGTTAGGAGAATGGCTTACTAGCTCTCCTTTGTGGAGCCTGCTGGGTAACAGGAACATTTTGTACTACAACCTGAAAACCACTGGTACTTAATATGGTTGGTGGTGTGGAAAGGGCTCAGGTCAGTTATGCGCAGCAGCTCAGACACTCACTTTCATTATCTCCACCGGGAGGTCGGTAGAAGGACAGGACCAGGGAGATGATGGCTGCGATCTCCAGGATGATGAGCGTGACATCCTGCAGGGCTTCCCACACTAATTCTAAGAAAGTCTTGGGCTTTTTCGGAGGTATCACATTCTTTCCAAAAACAAGTCTACGCTTTTCCAAATCTGCAGGGTTCCCAGATAGACCTGAGAAGGAGACAAGCGAGAGGGAGAGAGTAAGGCACAGGGTGGAGTGATATCAGAAACCAAATTAAAGGCCTATTTATTTATTTAGTTATTTGTACGTGTATGTGTCTCTCTGTGAAAGTATATGCACCTGTAGGGGCCAGAAGAGGGCATCAGGTCTCCTGGGGCGGGAGTCACAGGTGCTTGTGAACTGTCTGATGTGGGTGCTCCCCCCCCCCCCCGGGGCAGGCTTTCCTAAGTATCTGACCAGCAAGACTGTCGCAGTTGAAACCAAGATGTAAAAGCCAGAATCTAGCATAAGACAGGAATTCCTCGTCAGCAAAGGTGGATGGATGTCTGCTGAAAAGAACTACAACACTCCAGAGCAGCCCACACTTGATTACGCATTGAGACTTTGTGGTACGTAGAAAGGAGGAGAAGTCTAAAACTGCCCTCAAGAGGCAGAGTCAATAGCAGGGAGGTTAGGTTGGCTGACTTGAAGTACGATGGGTTAAAACGGTTAAAAGGCTCACCTTCTTCCAGCGGACCCTTCTGAGGGGAACCTTAGGGCTGCTCACCTTCTTCCAGCGGACCCTTCTGAGGGGTACCTTAGGGCTAGCTCTGCTTTGAAATACATCAGTATGCCAGGTGTGGTCTGACTTACAAACCAGTGTATGGGTTAGTAAAAGACATTAAAAAATAAAAATACCCCATGTCTAGTTATGAGACCCAGGATTGGAGTGTAATGGGCATGTGGTCAACCACCCTGGTTTGTTCAGGGCTTTAAAAGTTTAAACATGAACAGGCTGACAAGCTGGCCTCAGGATGAAGGCCTTTTGCTTCTAGCGACCAGGCTAAGTAAATGTCATCTGTTCCTTGGGGGCCTATGCTGCACACCAAGGCCCTTGCTCTAAGAACAGAAGCAGAAGACTGTTCTTGGGATGCACAGGACTCTTTCCTCAGGAGTATGCAAATTCTGGCAATGACCTGAACATGCAGGCTCACACGTGCTTGGGCCAGAAAAAACTAACTACCTGTTCTAGCTCATGCAGGTGGAGGCAGAGGCTACCCATGTGTCTTCCTTCCAAGTTCTAGGAGCTGTAGATCACCGAAGTAGAAGGCAAGGTAGTATTACGTGCATCATCCCTGCCCTTCTGCTTCTCATGCGACCTCCAGCAAGCTGCTCTACTAAGCAGCTAAGTACTTGGTAGGAACTAGACAAAGTATTGTAGCTCAGGTTGAATAAGAACCAAGCAAAGCCATGGAGTTTCCAGATACAACACAGTTATTGACAACCAGCATTTTCCCCATTAAAACAGAACCTGGAACCTCTAACACCTTTCTCTCTTTCTCTCCCAGCATGGGGGATGGGGAGGCAGAATTATACTCAGTAGCTTCCTTAGAATTTTGGTCCCTCTTCTGGACCCTATAGGAATAAGAGGGAATGGGAGAAACCCTGCCTAGCAGTCAACCCCAGTTGGCCTTTATTAAGTTGTTTACATATTTGCAACAAATTAGGTTTTTTTGTTTGTTTGTTTTGGATGCGGTAGGGTGCCTGTTTGATGGGCTCTCCAACAGGTAGGGTGGGGCAATCTTTGTCTTGAAAACAGGCCGACAGTCAAGGACTCAGAATCAGGGGCTGGGGATACTCCACTGAGCTTCACACAAAGCAAGGAAATGTGTGTGCCGGGAAGGAGCAAGGACAAAGTGGAGGCCAGGATGTCAGAGACGCCACACTCGCTCAATGTGGAGGCCTCCCAACCCCGAGGAACAAAATAGGCTCGGTGTGAGGGCAAAAACATTCTCTTTTCCACTGAACAAGTTGGAAAAAGATCCATGAAAATGGGCAAGCAAGTTTGCAGGGAATAAATGGCCTGCAGCCTGGGAGGTGGCTTCTACTCCCAGGGACTCACAAAATAAACCAGCAGCAGCTGGAGTGGAGAGCCTTCTGGCTCTGAGAGGGAGGAGTCTGAAACGGGACCAAGGTGAAGTCTGGCAGGATGGCATGATTAGTATTATATTGTGAAGCGAGGGACTGGAGGCCATGGAGGCCATTTTCACTCATTAGGAAGCAAGGGACAGAGAACTGTTTGGGGTCATGGTGCCTGAGACTAATCCAGGGCCCTATAACCCAGTGTTAAGTCCCTCACTCCAGCTCAGCAGCCAGTAGGGCTCCCCCGGGGAGCAAGGCTGGCTTCAGAGCTCTCAAAGACTAGTTAAGCTTCTTTCCAGACAGTCCTCAGCTTCCTATGCCTGCCCTGCCCTGCCCTGGGAAGTCAGGTTCCCAGTCAGAAAGGCAGGGGAGGGACTGGGAGATGAGTGTTCTGGACAGGACATCTGGATGCCCAGGCATGCAGGGGCAGGGTGGCCAGGAGGCAGGACTTGCTGGTTCTTTGCCCTAGGGGACCGAAAAGGGCAGGGCTGTGCTTGGGACTGCAGCTCTGGATGGACAGATCGGTTTGAGGGGAACAGAAGTTTAGGTGTTTTGTTTTGAAAAGATGTAGGATCCACAACACACTGGGAGGAAACGCTCTTCCCTCCTTTTGATAAGGGCTAGAAGAGCATTGTGAGGGTGGCTGGGATGTCAGAGAGGGAAGACCCTGGAACCTGGTGTGGTGACTCAGCCTGTTTCCTCAGCACTAAAGCAGGAGGATGGCTGAAAGTACAAGGTCAGTCTGGACCACACAGTGAGCTCCAGCCTGCCTATAGAACCCCATTTCTAAAATCCCCAAAAGCTACTAAATATCAATTTAAGGGACACCCTGATAGCCTATTAACACTCTCCCCAAGGTGAGTCTGCCTGAGCAACCTAGCTCAGTGTGCAGGGCAGGGTGACTACCTAGCTCCTCAGACTCTCAATAATCTAATGATCACTGGTACCTCCCACCTCTCCCTCCCTCCCTCCCTCCCTCCCTCCCTCGCGCCCCCCCCCCCC